CCAGGATGGAACAGTATCCACTGGCCCTCTGTAAATAAGTAATTTGGCTTGTTTTCCTTCCTCTCTATTCCTTTCCTAGCTGGGATTCAGATAATTATTACATTTTATTACACTGAGTCTCACCTTAATTAAGAATTAGTTTTGATATTTTTTATAAGTTTTAAACCATACTTACCACAGTCATCGAGATTTAATTTGTTTTGCTGTTTTGATACTCATCACTGCCTCTTTTCTCTCTGTTAATCAGAGTGTACCTTTGAAAAGATTTTCTTCAGGAAAGAATGTAGAGAAAGAATTCAGAGTCACAACTGTTTGAAAATGTTTTTCTGGTCTCTTTCTGTATAACCAGCATCTTGGATATGTTTAGAACTCTTGAGCACAGAACTTTTCCTTTAAAACTCTGTAAACATTTCATCTTCTGATGCTCATTTTGTGGTGAGGCCATTTTGACTCCGTTGTTTTGTAGCCTACTTATTTTTTTCTGTCCAGGTGCTTGAGGGATGTTTTCATTTTCCTTGAATTTTGAAAGCTTAGAAGGATATGTGTAGATGTTGTCATTTATTTATTTATTTGTTTTTATTTTTTAGCAGCTGTATTGAGATATAATTCACATACCATCCAACCCACCCATTTAAAGGGTACAATTCAATGGCTTTCGGTATATTCACAGAGTTGTGCAATCAACACTACAGTAAATTTTAGAACATTGTCGTCAATCCAAAAGAAAACTTGAACCCCTCAGCCTTCACTCCTCCATCCCTGTCCCTCCCTCTTGCAGCCCTCGGCATCCACGAATCTACTTTCTGTTTCTATAGATTTGCCTATTCTGTATAGTTCATGTAAATGGAATTATACAATATGTGGTCCTTGTGACTGGCTTCTTTCATTTAGCATCATGATTTCAGAGATTCATCCATATTGTAGCGCACATCAGCATTTCATTTCTTTTTATTGCTGAATAATATTCCGTTGTGTAGGTATGCCACATTTTATTTATCCATACACCAGTTGATGGACATTGGGTTGTTTCTATGTATTGGCAATGAATAATTCTGCTATGAACGTTCGTGTACAAGTTTTTGTTTGAACACCTGTTTTCATTTCTTTTGGGTATATATCTAGTAGTGGAATTGCTGGGTCAAATGCAGTAACTCTCTGTTTAGCCTTTTGAGGAACTGCCAGACTGTTTTACAAAGTGGCAGCAGCATTTTATATTTCCACCATCAAGGTATGAGGGTTCCAATTTCTCAACATCTTTGACAACACTCATTATTGTCCATCTTTTTTACTATAGCCATCCTAGTAGGTGTGAAGTGGTATCTCATTGTGGTTTTGATTTGCATTTCCCTGATAACAATTGATGTTGAGCATCTTTTCATGTGCTTGTTGGCCATTTGTTTATCTTCTTTAGATGAATGTCTAGTCATATCCTTTGCTCATTTTAAAATTGGGTTATTTGTCTTTTTATTATTGAGTTGTAAGAGTTCTTTATATATTCTATATATAAATATCTTATCAGCTATTTGATTTGCAAAACTTTTCTCCCATTCTGTAGGTTGTCTTTTCACTTTCCTGATGGCATCCTTTGAAGCATAATGGTTTGTTTTGTTTGTTTGTTTGTTTTTGCTGAGAAAGATTTGCCTTGAGCTAACATCTTTTGCCAATCTTCCTCTCTCTTTTCTTTTTCCTCCCCAAAGCGCCGGTACATAGTTGTAAATTCTAGTTGTAAGTTCTTCTATTTCTTCTATGTGAGCTGTCGCCACAACATGGCTACTCACAGACGAGTGGTGTGGTTCGGCGCCTGCGAACCGAACTCAGGCCGCTGAAGTGGAATACACTGAACTTTAACCACTAGGCCATCAGGGCTGGCTCGGAAGCACAATAGTTTTTAATTTTGTGTGTGTGTGTGTGAGGAAGATCAGCCCTGAGCTAACATCCGTGCTAATCCTCCTCTTTTTGCTGAGGAAGACCGGCTCTGAGCTAACATCTGTTGCCAATCCTCCTCCTTTTTTCCCCCCAAAGCCCCAGCAGATAGTTGTATGTCATAGTTGCACATCCTTCTAGTTGCTGTATGTGGGACGCGGCCTCAGCATGGCCAGAGATGCATCAGTGCATCGGTGCGCGCCTGGGATCCGAACCCGGGCCACCAGTAGCAGAGCATGCGCACTTAACCACTAAGCCACGGGGCCAGCCCAAGTTTTTGATTTTTGATGTCCAAATTGTTTTTTTCTTTTGTTGTTTGTTCTTTTGGTGTCAATATTTAAGAAACTATTGCATAATCCAAGATCATGAGGATTTATGCCTGTTTTCTTCTAAGAGCTTTATAGTTTTAGGTTTTATAATTATGTCTTTGATCCATTTTGAGTTAATTTTTGTATACTGTGTGAAGTAAAAGTCCAACTTCATTTTTTTACATCTAGATATTCAGTTGTTCTGGCACCATTTGTTGAAAAGAACTGTTCTTTCCCATTGAATTATCTTGGCATCCTTGTCAAAAGTTTATAGACCATAAATGTAAGGGTTTATTCCTGAATTCTCAATTCTATTCCTGTGATCTGTATGTCTGTCTTTATGCCAGTACCATATTGTCTGGGTTACTTTAGCTTTGTAGTAAGTCTTGAAATCAGAAGTAGTGATTCCTCCAAATTTGTTCTTCTTCTTCAAAACTGTTTTGGCTATTCTGGGTCTCTTTAATTTCCAAATGAATTTTAGGCTCAGCTTGTTAATTTCTGCAAAAGAGCCAGCTGAGATTTTTATAGGGATTGCATTGAATCTTTAGATCAATTTGGGGAATATTACCATCTTAACAATATTAAGTCTTCCAATCCATGAACATGGGATGTCTTTCCATTTATTTAAGTCTTCTTAATTTCTTTCAACAACATTTTGTACTTTTCAGAGTTTGTTTTGTGCTTCTTTTGTTAAATTTATCCTAAGTATTTAATTCTTTTCTATGCTGTCTTAATTGGAATTTTCCCAATTTCATTTTTGTTTTTTTCATTGCTTCTATATAGAAATACAATTGATTTATGCGTATTGATCTTGTATCCTAAAAAATTGCTGAACTAGTTTATTAATGCTAATAGTTTTTTAGTAGATTTCTTATATGCAAGAAAGAGTCTCTAGTGGAGCATTTAAGGGATTTTCTATATATGAGATCGTGTCATCTGCAAATAGAGATAGTTTTACTTCTTTCTTTTTTTTTTTTTTTTTGGTGAGGAAGGTTAGCCCTTAGCTCACATCTCTTGCCAATCCTCCTCCTTTTGTTCAGGAAGATTGGCTCTGGGCTAACATTTGTGCCCATCTTCCTCTGCTTTATATATGAGACACCTGCCACAGCATGGCTTGATAAGTGGTGCATAGGTCCGTGCCTGGGATCTGAACCTGTGAACCCCGGGCTGTAGAAGCGGAGTGTGTGAACTTAACCACTATGCCACCAGGCTGGCCCCTACTTCTTCCTTTCTAAGCTAGACTCTCTTAATTTCATTTTCTTGCATAATTGTCCTGGCTAGCACCAGAACGATGTTGACTATATGTGGTGAGAGCAGACATCCTTGTCTTGATCCTGACCTTAGGAACAGGAGGAAAGCGTTCAGCCTTTAACCGTTAAGTATGACATTAGCTCTGGGGTTTAGCAGATGCTCTTATCAGGCTGAGGATATTTCTTTCTATTCCTAGTTTGTTGAGTGTATTTTTTATCATGAAGGGCTGTTGAATTTTGTCAAATGCTTTTTCTGCATCTATGAGATGATCATATGGTCTTTTTCCTTTCTTCTATTAATATGGTGTGTTATATTAATTGAATTTCAGATACTATTTATTTTTACCTTTTAATTCAACTTCTCATTTCCTTGTTCTTTAGAGTTCAGAGGACCCTGGAGGAAACCATTAAATGACATATGCAATAGATGTGATGTGAGGCCTGGAAGCTGATGGTAGTCCTCTGTGAAAATTTCAATTTCTAGAACTTTATACCTCATCAAAAGCCCTGGTGATGGCTATCTTGGATTTTTTTGTTTGGTGTTGTTGAGTGGTGTGAGTATAGAAAAAATTTTTAAGTGTGCTTATGTTACCCAACTGTATAAATTCATAACATTATTTTGATAGTATAAAGGATACAGTTGCATGTTACAGGCACTATTTTTGGAGGTGGAAAATTTTAACTATATTATTTGTAGGCTTTTTAGGGATGGTAACCCTTCTATGCACAATAAAGTATGTAGCTAGTATTTCTAGCAATTCTAACCATTATCAATGTATTTTGTCTTTGAAAATATCTAGATCCTCCCCCCCAGTTTCTTTTAACATAACATGATTTGTTTCATATTATATATTTCCTATGTCCCTATTTTATAATGTATGTTACCATTAATTGCGGTTTCCTTCTGTTGGACACATTTTTCTTTTCCGTGTGAGTTCCTCACTTGGTTGCATTGTCATTTTCATTGATGATGCATCTGCTAATTAATTTTTCTTCTTTGAATGCTTGCCCTTTTTGTTCTTGATTTTGCAGTTCAGCTCTATTTTTTTTTTCAGCTTTGTTTATTGGTATTTCTTTCTAGCTTCTATTGGCCTGCAATCTTCTATGACTTGTTTGTAATATTTATATGTTTACATGGAATTGACAGTCCATCCTCTGCCATCAGTGATGATTAACATTCAAATGTTTCTTTAAAGTGGCTTAGAAAATAGTTATTTCTTGTGGTTGATATATGCAGTAGCTTCCTAAATTCATAGCAAGGTCATGATTATCAGAAGGTGTCACTTATAGGCATGTATAAAGTTTTACTTATTTTTTATTCTGGTAAAATATGCATAACATAAAATTTACCATTTTAACCATTATTAAGTGTACAGTGCTGTGGCGTTAAGTACATTCACATTGTTCTGCAACTTTGAAGTTTTTAAAGATAAAATAATAGCCATTTCTTAATCCTTCAGAGTTTCCTCTTTCTCCCTTAGTACTTCTTTTCTATTGATCAACTTTCTTTTTCTTTTAGATGCTGAGGAATTCCTGGCGGAAGGTTTGCGGAATGAGAACCTCAGTGCTGGTGCAAAGGACCACAGAGACCATATTCTACGTGGCTTTCAGCAAGTCAGAACTAGGTTTGTATAAACTGGTTCCATTCTTCTTTTTCATAAGCTTTAAAACAATTTATAATCAGTAAAATCTACTTTAATATTGTATAAATTAACAAGGTAAGACATACCTATCATAGATCTTTGTACTTGGTGAATAAAGTCTTTTAAATAATTTTATTTATTTATTTTTTTCCCCCAAAGCCCCAGTAGATAGTTGTATGTCATAGTTGCACATCCTTCTAGTTGCTGTATGTGGGACTTGGCCTCAGCATGGCGGGAGAAGC